AATTTACCGGGTTTGATAAATTAACAATAAAACAACAACATGGCGGAAATGCAATTGCAACACTCCATTTTCGAATTCGAGAAAATGTTGTAAGTACAATAGCGCTAACCTGTATCCCAGAAGGATCATACCTTAGGTCTTATGGGAATACAGGGTTAGACCCTGTTTACATGAGATAGGGTGCCCCTACTTGGTAGGGMTTATTTTCCCTGGAGGATTTAAAACAAAGGATTTTGGCCCTACCACTAGGGACACCCTATCTCATGTAAACAGGGTCTTAACTTGGGGAAAATGTAAATTTCCAAGGTTATTGTAATAACGACATTTTCMCGTGCTCTCTTTTGTRTTTCGTCAGTTCTTTGTGCAAGAGAATCKGTTGTCAAATACAGCAGCGGTTTTTCGCTATGAATTCGAAACTGAAGTAATCACAATACCCCATACACTCGTTCAGTGACCACGAACAAACCATTGGACCGAGGCGTCAGGGTACAGTAAGCATAAAAGAAAAGATCTGTGCTCAGATCTTGACGCCTCGGTTTAGTGCTTTGTTCGTTGTAAATGAACCTGCATGTATGAAACGTCGTGAAGAAAATTCCTTGCTTATATTTGACATAGTTCCTTGCTTTGTCTGGATATTACATTCATATTGTAAAGCAAAGGTTTTACTTACGATTCTGTTCCTGTTGACGCAGCTCCTTGAGTCCCTTTGCCTAAAAACWAAGTGATTAGCAAAATGCATAGAGTAACGAGAGACAGGTGGCCTGTTATTTCTTACCAACAGCAACTTTCTTCTGGCGTTTTCCCTTGTAATATGACCTTTCTCGCTTAGGTAACCATCGCTCAGGGTCAGGGTCCACTTCAGGGTTGTGATTCTTAGGAAGTTTTCCTGAGACAAGTGATAAAAGAAGTTACCGACAGCACAATATCATAGCATAAGATCCCTTAGTTGCATCGAGTTACGAGTCTAGTGTCTAACTCGAGTTCACTAGGCTATTTTAGTTCCATCGAGTTACGAGGTCTAGTGTGTAACTCGAGTTCACTAGGCTATTTTAGTTCCATCGAGTTACGAGGTCTAGTGTGTAACTCGAGTTCACTAGGCTATTTTAGTTCCATCGAGTTACGAGGTCTAGTGTGTAACTCGAGTTCACTAGGCTATTTTAGTTCCATCGAGTTACGAGGTCTAGTGTGTAACTCGAGTTCACTAGGCTATTTTAGTTCCATCGAGTTACGAGGTCTAGTGTGTAACTCGAGTTCACTAGGCTATTTTAGTTCCATCGAGTTACGAGGTCTAGTGTGTAACTCGAGTTCACTAGGCTATTTTAGTTCCATCGAGTTACGAGGTCTAGTGTGTAACTCGAGTTCACTAGGCTATTTTAGTTCCATCGAGTTACGAGGTCTAGTGTGTAACTCGAGTTCACTAGGCTATTTTAGTTCCATCGAGTTACGAGGTCTAGTGTGTAACTCGAGTTCACTAGGCTATTTTAGTTCCATCGAGTTACGAGGTCTAGTGTGTAACTCGAGTTCACTAGGCTATTTTAGTTCCATCGAGTTACGAGGTCTAGTGTGTAACTCGAGTTCACTAGGCTATTTTAGTTCCATCGAGTTACGAGGTCTAGTGTGTAACTCGAGTTCACTAGGCTATTTTAGTTCCATCGAGTTACGAGGTCTAGTGTGTAACTCGAGTTCACTAGGCTATTTTAGTTCCATCGAGTTACGAGGTCTAGTGTGTAACTCGAGTTCACTAGGCTATTTTAGTTCCATCGAGTTACGAGGTCTAGTGTGTAACTCGAGTTCACTAGGCTATTTTAGTTCCATCGAGTTACGAGGTCTAGTGTGTAACTCGAGTTCACTAGGCTATTTTAGTTCCATCGAGTTA